ATTTATTTCACAGCTGGGGGCAGGGTAGAAAACTTATATACGTTATTTAATTGTTGCGTTTTTCCTTTCCTGTACTCTTCACATGGCTTTCTTTCTGCTTGTCTCTAGTAGTGGAAAACCTTTTTCTTTGTCACATAAGTCTAGGGCAGAGTTAACTTAACAACTATGATTATGGAAGGAATACTGTCAAGGTAAGAGTCCAAAGTATGTCACTGAAATTTGAAAGAAAAAATAAATTATGTCCAAAAATAACCAATTCGAATTATTGTTACCTGGGCTATTATTTACTGTGGACAAGTATCTGACTTGTATGTCCCTCATGGCCATTGGCCCAAATAGCCAACTAGAATTATTTGGTACTTAGATGGTATAATGGATATTTCTGCTCTCAGGCTAAACCAGTTCCTGTTGCTGGGTTGAGGGCTATAGCCTCACTTCCAAGTGCCTTGGAAATAATTCCAGTGTACTCTTTATCCCTTGCTCCAAAGGTTATTTAAACTTTTATTTTTCAGAAAGAGAAAATCTCTTGGAATATATAACTAGTGTCTGTTCTCTTACATTCAAAATAGAACTATTCTACTCCTTTCAGAGATGGCATGGGAAAGTAATATTAAGCTCAGTACATTAAAACACCTGGTAAAGCTAACCTGTAATATTTTTAATCAAGGGGTTTGCCTTTTTCCATGTGGTCTGAGTACCCAGACTCGTGACATTTTTATCTGAATGGTTAAAATGTTTTGAGGTCTAAGAAATTGTTTTTGAAATTCTACTTGTACTGATCCTAATGTTACTGGTCCATGTGTAAATCTCCCCCAGGATTACAGTTACAGCTCTGCTAGCCACTCTCTACCCACCCAAACCTACTTGCCCTTTTGGCTGCAGAACATCCTGGCTGTGAAGCTCCTGACCAATGGGCAGCCCTGGGGTGTCTGTGCCTGTGTCTCCTTTGGCTCCCACCCATAGAAGGCTTGCCAAGTGTCAGTTGTTTGTTTCCAAATCTGGTCATTCAAGTTAGACTTATTATTGGAATTACAGTTTAATGTTACATAATCCTTTGAACGAGTGTGAAAACTTTTAAGTTGAATGTTTTGGGAACATTTGATAAAAACGAATAGCTAAAAAAAATAAGACTTAAATTAGATGTGGGTCTGACATTGTGGGCCTGACATTGGAAAAACTTGGGGAAAAAAAAATCTAAGGATTCTGCACACACATTGCTTTGTAAATGATTCCCTTTTAAGAACCAAATTTCATTTATGCCTACATTCCCTTCCCAACAAACAAAATACAGTGTGGAACACTGGGATTCTCAAAAAATCTGCAAAAAAAGTACATGTATGTGTTTAAGTTAAAATGTTTATGTGTATACATATATACATATATGTATGTGTACACACACACACACACACACACACACACACACACACACTTTTTTTTCTTTTAAGTTTCCTGCCTGACAGACTTTACATTAGCTAACCAACTTCTGGTCCCTTTCACTTCTGATAAGAGTGCATCTATGGTATTTAGCCTTAATCTCCAGATATTGAATTAGACACTTTATTTAGTTCATGTTATTTAACATACCTCAGAGTGGTCCTGCAGTAATTTGTATTACTTTTAGATTTAAAAACAACTGTGTCATTGAATGGTAGGGGCAGAAAGATTAGTCATTTTACATCTAAGTTATATGGAGTTTAGCAGTTTTATTTTTTTAGGACATGGTGTTTCAGGTCTGTTACATTTAAAATCCCTAAGCCTACCTTGGAAATGAGACAGATCTCTTGTTTAGTTTGAATCAATTATCTTGTTTCTTTTTATCTCCCAGGTAACTCTTTTCTTTCTCCTGACACCCTGCAAGCCTCAGTTGCTTTTCCAGGCTCTAGTCTTACCTTCTCTGGTTCCTTTTGTCTTTAAAGCCTTTCCATACTTGCCTCTATCATTCCAAGAGGTGGGAACTCTGATGACTTTGGTTTTCTGAGCTATGGTCTAGTAATGCTGTTTGTCTACTTTTTTTTTGTAGACAATTTTTCTTATTCTTTTAGGTCTTAATTTTTCTTGACCTGAGTCAACCATATGTAGCCTTCTGGCAGCCTCACCTTTTAATAAAGGGGGTTTTCCTTCATTTCTCGTTCAAAATAAAATCATTAAAAGTGAAGCTGAACCTTGTAGGAAGTGACAGTACTGGCTAGATACCATTTTGCTCCTGGTCCAGTAATTCTGACTGCTTCAGGACTTCCTGTTCTATCACCCCTAGCAAGGTGACTTATCTTTCCTATTCTCTTAGGATGTCTGGGATGGGAAAGGGCCCATGTTTTGTACATGTAGATCCTGTCCCAGAGGGCAAAGTCTAGGTCACACGTGAGTGAGCAGCTGGATTACAACCTGGGCCCAGATTGTACTGTTCTGGTGAGGATGCTGCCTTCTCTTCTGGGGCCCTCTTTGCCATTTGAAGGAATGCTAGAAGAACTTGGATTTTAGAAAACTCTGGCCACACAACACCTCTCCTAAAAGCATCCTGAAGAGAAGACCCTGTCAGTTCTGAAATAACCACCGACATTTGTTGTTTAGTGAGTTCACGTGAAAAAAAGAGGACATTGAGTCCATTTTACAGAAGAGAAAACCAAGATAAATAACACTGGTGAGATAAAAGGCTGTATTTCCTTCCCACTTTTTAGTCTAGATGAAAAAGAGGTAAAATGAATGACCATCAGCGTGGATCCCAGAAGGGGAGTGAAGGCCATAATAGGGGCTCTCAGCAGCCTCTGCAGAAGTTTTTTGCTTGAGTAAGTTGGGGAAGTTAAGGCAGTTTGTCAGCTTCCAGGAACAGAAGGAAGGAGTGTATCCGTCTCAAGTGCATGTTTGTGTTTGTTGTTTTCTAAAACACCAGTTGGTGGAGCTACCCTCTTATCCCCAGCTGGCTGTCTCCTTGTGTCCTCATTGGAAAAAGGGCTGACATTCCAGTACCCTTTGGGACTGGCTGGTTTGTACTCTAGTTTTGTAAGTCCTGCCACCCCACCCTCTCCCTTGTACCTGAGGGCCAGTGTGGATTGCATTAGCTCTCCAGGCTTCTGAGAACCCATTTGATTTCACAGGACTGTGACAAATCGGCTTCCATACTTTTTTCTGGCACTTGGCATTGTTGACCCTGACTTTGCTACTTAGGGGACCATGGGGCGCTGGGGGAAATCATGCCCTCCAAGCCTCACCAGGGTCTGGGTAATCCGGTAAACGAACGCTGCCCAAATATGTTAATAAGGCAGCATGAGTAATAGGAGCATTATGCATAATTACTCACATATTCATAGGATGTATGAGGGTGTTAGAAAGGGGAACCCTACTGGCAGAAGTTCTTGAGAGCTGTTCTTGAGAGCTGGTGTGGCCTAAAAAGCTTAAATTGGATTTCAAGTTCTAATTTTGTATGTCGGTCAGGCTCCACCACCCATGAAGAGGAAGGCCAGTGAGCACTGAAATATTATCAAGAGCAGTGTTTAGTTACCATGAATCCTAGAAGGTTAGTAAACTACATAGCTACAATTGTGCCCCTCTCTACTCCCAGTACAGCTCTTCCCTCATGCACATATTTTTTCCAATAGAACCGGGAATAATTTTCCAACAATGTATTTTTTTTTTTTTTTTGTGGGGAGTAGAGGGGGAGTGAAAGGGTTGGGTTGTGTGTGTTTATTTTCCATCAGGAGACCCTCTGGTTTACTGGGACAGCAGCCCAGGTATCTCGTGACCGAAGCATCCAAAATGTGTGAGACCTTTTTGGCACTCTGTTTTATTGCTGTCTTTTTAAATCTGGGTGGTTCTTTCTCCATTATTTCCTAACCACATTTCAGTTAGGGCTTCATTTACAATGGTGGAGTGTGTTATCTCTTGGTTCTCATTTCTGCCAGCTGTTAAAGTGTTTGGTGCCTGTGGGGGCAGAAACAGGTGCCAGGAGGAAATGAGAAGGGATTAGGACTGAGCATGTGTTTCTTGCATTTATTCCTTCCATAGGTTTGCAGAAAGGGGACTGAATGAATACTTATTCTGTTAAGCAGCAGTTGGATATAGACGTTATTAAAACTTGGAGAGTTTTGTGCTTTATGCAGATGCCTTATTACTAGTACATGGGCTTCAGAAATGAAATACCTCAGATTTGAACAGGCTCGTTTGGAATATATAGAGTACTCTGTGGTAATGGACAGCGTTGGGAGTATGAGCTGAGTTCTAGGTTTGGTCCTGTAGTGCACTGACTGTGTGACCCTGGGCAAGCCACATAACCTTGCTGAGCTGCTTCCTCATCTGGAAAACTTGTCCATGTACCTAATAGGCTTGTTGCTGGAAGAGCCAGTGAGATTTTTGATGTGAAAGCACTTTGTAAATTGCATACTACTGCACAAATACTCAAAGTATTACCACACAGTTGAAAATCACCAACCTGGAGATAATCAGGCTTGCCGGCAGCCTT